TGAGGTGAGCAGCGATTTGACTGCTTTAAAGGCATACTCCTCTTTGGGTCCCCAATGCCAAGGTGCGTTTTTGTCTAGAAGTCTGTGTAACGGTTCGGCTACTGACGCTTTGTGGGGTAGGAACGAAGCGTAGAAATTTAATAAGCCTAGGAAAGCCTGTAATTCAGACTTTGTGGAAGGCGTGGGTGCCTCGTGAATTGCTTTGACTTTAGATTCTACCGGGTGGATGCCAGAGGCGTCTATTCTATACCCAAGAAAGTCCACCTGTTTAGTGGCGATGGCACACTTCTCCCTTTTTAGTTTGAGGCCATGCTGTCTGAACTTGTCTAAAACCGCTCTGACTCTTTGGAAAAGTTGGGGCCTGTCCCTGGCTGAGACCAATATGTCGTCAAAATAAGGAACCACGCCAGGGAGGCCTTGAAGTATACGTTCCATTAATGACTGGAAAATGCCTGGGGCAACACTAACGCCAAATTGGAGACGCCTGCACCTGAATGCCCCTCTGTGAGTGACAATAGTTTGTAAATCGGCCGTTTGACTGTCAACAGGAAACTGCTGATAAGCCTGAGACATATCCAATTTGGCGAAAATGGTGCCAGGCTCAAATGTGTGGAGTAAGTGCTGGATTACCGGGACTGGGTAAGCGCTAACCTGTAGGTAGCGGTTAATTGTGGTCTTATAATCAGAACAAATTCTTAAACTGCCATCCTTCTTAAGGGGTGTGACAATTGGGGTTTCCCATTTAGCAAAATCCGTGGGCTCAATCACCCCCTGTTTGAGTAATTTGTCCAGTTCCGCGTCCAGTTTAGGGCGTAGCGCAAATGGTACTCTACGCGGTTTTAAACGGACGGGAACTGCTTGGGGGTCCACTGAAAAAGAAATGGGTGTGCCATTGTAACACCCTAATTCGTTGCTGAACACATCAGCGTAGTCTGCAAATAGGGAGTCTATGTCTGAAGTTGAGACAGCATGGACTCCCGTTAAGCTAAGACCGAGATAGGGGAACCAATCTAACCCCAACAGGCTAGGGAGGGCACCGTCAACAACCACTAAAGGCAGATGGCCTTTAAAGGATTTGAATTTAACGAGGAACTTGCCTTTTCCGAGTACTGGAATATTCTTCCCTTGATAGTCCCTCAAGGTGAGGCGGCTCTTCTGGAGTTGGCTCCTAGACAGGCTGGGCCGGATTTTCTTAAGAGTGTTCCACGAGATGATCGAGAGCGCTGACCCGGTATCGACCTCCATGAGACAAGGTTTACCTTCTAAATGAATAGAAAGTGTGATTTTATTAGGTGTCAGAAAAGTGTGATTAGCTTGGTAGCAAGTATAACAGTTTTCTACTTGCCTTGGTGGCTCTGGAGGAGAGTAAGAGGACGAAGGCCTTTGCGATGCCACGTGTGCCGCTTGGCAGCCTCTGGCGATGTGACCTTTTTTGTTGCAGTTGTTGCAGGTAGCGTTTCTGAACCTGCACGCCGTCCGGGCATGGGGACCCCCGCAGGACAGGCATAACAGGATGTGCTTTGGTGCGTTGCTGTTCCCATGCCTTGCCCCTACCTGTGATTTCCTCAAGGGTTTGAGACGATGAACTTCCGAATGTTCAATGGGGTCTTCTTCACTCACCGCTTCCTCGGAGTGAACAGTGGCAGAGCTGGTCTTGGGAGTGGTCCCTTGGATTTCAGCGGCTGACTGGGTTGCTAGTTCTGCTGCTAAGGCTTCTTCAACCGCTTGGGAGAGGTTGAGATCTTTTCTGGCCAGCAAACGCCTCTGTAGTTTTAAGTCTTTGACTCCACATACGAGTTGATCGAGTAACATGTCGTCCAGGTAATTTTTGAACTCGCAGTGGAGAGCTGCTGTCCTCAGGGCAGCCATGTATTGATTTATGGATTCCCCATCTGCTTGCTTCCTCATCCGGAAGGCAAAACGCCTCGCGATCTGCGAAGGTTTAGGGGAATAATGATTTGAAAGTGTCTCCAGCAGCTCTGGCCATGGAACGCTCTTGATTTCTCGTGGAGCAAGGAGGGCTGTTGCGGTATCGAAGACTGCAGCTCCGCAGTAGCTGAGGAAATATGACTTAATTCGGTGTTCCGCTGCGTCAGCCAGACCGATGGCATCAATATAGTGATTGAACCGGTTTCTATAAGAGTCCCACTTCTCTTCATCCGGTTTAAAGGGCGGAAATGCTGGGTTAGCGTTCATATTGGCGCCTCAGACAAGGGTAGACTGCCCTCTCTCTCTCTCTCTGGGTATACGAGGTCCAATACGTGCTCACGTGAGCGCAGGCGGCTGTGGCTGCAGCGGTTGACCTGGCTCAATGACTTCGGCTCTGTGCTAGTGAGCGTTAGAGGCTCTTGCTGTAACGCTGTGACTATCAGCAATCTTTTGAATCTCGCGCTCCCGGAAAGCGTTGGCGGATGCACTGACAGAGATTCAAATTTCGCGCTCTCTGGGCACGTGGGCGGCTGCGGACACAGCGCCGGGCTTCGCTTGAGTTTCGAATTCAAACGACAGCAGTTTGAATTCCGCGCTCTTTTTCCGAGCGGGGCGGCTGTAGCTTCAGCGCCTGACTTCACTCTCTCTCTGTAGCTTTTTGTGCGAGCGGCTACAGACGCTTCACTTTCACTTAGCTAACTAGCGAACTGACCGAGCTCTCTGCTTCGCGGCTGCGGTTCAGTTGCCTATCGTGATTTCAGCTCAATGGAATGCTTCTGGTTAGCGATCCCATCCTCGTCGCCAGTGTTATATGTTAAAGGAATGAGAGGCTAAACCAGAGCATTCACAAGTAAAGGCTTTATTCAACTGAATAAAGGGCTGTCGCGTCTGCATACTAACAAGCAGACATGCTCAGCGAACAGCGGCTGGCTCGACCTAGCAGCCGGCTTTTATAGCCGGCTGTCGAAGGGAGCCAGCCAATGGGAGCTGTAAATGCCCCCGCAGTATGGACGGACTTGATTGGGAACTTTGGTCAGTTCCAAGGACATAACAGATACATTCAAACATCTATCTCCCATTGGCTAGCTCAGTCTGTCACATAAAATTTGCTTGCAAGCAAACTCACAAAATTATCTCACAACACACCATGTATGTAAATATTGAATTTTTTATTTAAAAAAAGAGCAACTTCTTACCCAAAATCAGGCAAAGCAGGCAGATTGAGTTGCTCACAGAATAATTCAGTGATCTATCGGCTAGCTCAGTCTCTCAAATTTGCTTGCCGTGAGTCTGCAATGAATTTGCTTACAAGCAAACCTTCACTACTAAGGGAGGTAAGGCTGTGCTGAGCGAAGATCTAAAGACTAGCTAGAAAGCAAGAAATCCAACCATTTCCTGCTTCCTAGCTAATCTAAATCTCCTGTCACAGCAGAACAGATGATGGTCAGAAAAAGGAAAAATAGCAATTTAGCAGGCTAGTTTACCGGATAAGGAGTGAGTGGGTGGGGAAGGTTCCCACGGGCCATGTGAGCGGTGCACAGCCCTGTCTTTCTGCACAGCCTGGATTAATTACTTTGTGGAGGTGCTCTGGGAATGAAATTTCTCTGCGGCCCACCAAAATTTTCTCACATCCCACCAGTGGGCCACAGCCCACCGGTTGGCGACCACTGGACTAGATGATCTATAAGGTCCCTTCCAGCTCCGTTCATCTATTAATTTTCCCATTCCCCAGAGCAAAAGGAAGGCAAGTAATTAAAATAATCAGCATCCTTTTCTTTATTTTACTGTAGAACTGAATCTTAACCACAAAAAAATGACAATGGATAAGAAAGGAGTAGATTGCAAATCAAAGGGGAAAAAGCATTTGCAGACATTTGAATGAATGGTTTCCTTTGACCAAGATTAGTGCAAAAGATACCTTTATAAAATAACTATGTTTAAAAACAAAGCGAACTGCTATATTTACACCTTCAGGCCAACCAAACTTCATAGAGCAGTTAGGCTTATCTTACCCAGGAGTGTAATGTTCATATTATGATTAAATAAGAACATCCTAAAGGGGAAATCAGATTTTAGGTACCAAATAATGCAACAATTTGTCTTGGATGGCGTTGGCAGTCAATGGTCTTTGTAGCTAAGCACTGGCAGGTTTTCTTTTAAAGTTCCACCTATCCCCATTTCTGCTTGAGGTAACAAATTTACCTGCAGTCACTAACTGGACTATATTTAGTCCATCATAATATTTGCAAATAGGGGCTATAGTTTTTGTGCCTTATTTTGAAGCTTCCCATTGCTTCAAAATCCAACAGGGCTCCCAGTGTGCAAAGGCAGCATGACAAAATGGGGACTGTTTTGCTTTACACAGTTGAAACAGCATGGAATATGCTATTTTTGGCTTGAAATCCATATCACAATTAATGGCATCCATATAACTCACGTAGTGATGATATCTTTGCTCTCCTGGCCCTTGCTTGCAATAATGATGTTACCACCCAAAGACATTTAATCAACACCATCCCCATCATGCCAGGACATTTTGAGTTTCACTTTGTTACCTCATTTAATTCAGCAACTATTTGATCAGTTTGTGTCTGACCCATTGCTGGAAAAATGTGCAAAATACCACTTGTCCTTATCACTAGTAATATTTGATCACCTAAATTAGTCATATTTGATCTCTAATCAGTTTAAAGCAGTATTTCTCAACCTTATAAGCTTGAAGATGCATGGACTTCAACTCCCAGAATTCCCCAGCCATCCTTGGCAGTGATGGGATTCAAAATATTTTTACTACTGGTTTTGTGGGCGTGGCTTGGTGGGTGTGGCAGGGGAAGGATACTGCAAAATCTCCAGTTAGAGGTGATATTTGCTGGTTTTCTGAACTATTCAAAATTTCCACTACCGGTTCTCCAGAACTGGTCAGAACCTGCTGAATACCACCTCTGGTCCTTGGATAATTGAAGTCCACACAACAAAACACTAAGGTTGAGAAACACTGTTTTAAAGGATCAGTTAAAAGTTCCACAATATTAATCACTGGGATCTTCTGTCATTATTGTTATTGTTGGCAGCATATCCACACTGGACAGAGAGACTGAACGATACCCAATTAGACAGTGGGGATCAACTTCGCTGGGAGTGTAGAGCTTCTGGAAAGCCAAGGCCAACTTATCGCTGGCTCAAAAATGGGAATACTGTACGGTCAGAGGTAAGTATGCTGTAGTTTTATTTGATTTCAGGTTATCTTAGAATGGGGATCTCCATAGTTGTCAACTTTAAGACTTCTGGACTTCAACTCCCACAATTCCTCATCCACAATAGATGATTGAAAAGTAGTGGGAGCTAAATCCAGAAGTCTTAAGGTTGACAAGTTTGGAGTGTCCACTTAAAATATGGTATTAAGCTCAGATGCCAGTTGAATTAGGAAGTAAAACAATGATATATTTATAGTCATTCTAAAGCAGGAAGAAGAACATTTTCCAAGTGGAGTCAATTCCAGACGTAGGTTGAGTCAGGAAAAAAATATCTGAGATGATCACACATAAAAGCTTTGATTTAAATAACATTAACATAAATTAATTATAGGGAATATGATTACTTCCTGTGTATTTAAGAATTCTTCTCATTTTTCATATTAGCATTCTAATTTGTTAGCAACTGTTGGAAGAGCTCTGATGTTTCAAGTAGTTTAGAGGCCTTAATTAAGTTTCCTTTTTTTAAAAAGACTAACAGATATTTTTGTTATGGTTTAAGTTTGTATCACCTGTTTTGAATCCATACTTCTTTTTCAGCCTTAGATATGTGACATCCTAAATCTGTATCTTTTTTCTTTCTTTCTTAAAGTGTGCGTGAAAACCCACAAGAATCTGAAGAGACACTTTTTTGATTTGTGCATTTCCTTCTTTATATTTTATTATTTTAGGTGCCCTGTGTCATAAATCTCATGATGAGAAGCAATCAAGAAAATAGCCATTCAACAACTATTTACTCCTCCTTCTTCCTTATCACCAATAAAACAGAAAAATACTAGTTACATTCAGGAGCCTTCTTATTATAAGCAAATACTCTTTTTTTTAAAAAAATCAACTTTTCTTTATCTTGAACTAATTATTTAATGTTAATATTTCCATTATATTGTAGCATCAACAGTGTCATCTTCTGTGCTCTTCACAACTCCTAATAAAATCAGTTCCTGGCCATAAGATAGTTGGTTATACTTATCTATATCGATATACTTCTGTAGTAAATGATTGCAATCCATATATAGATATCCATATCTATAAATGGATTATAATCCTTTTTTACAGAAATATTTAGTATAACCCGCAGGTATAAATATTGTTTGAAATTAATCTCTTGTATTCCTTTGCATTTTATTGCAAGGTGTTCAACGCAAGGTGTTTAAATGAACTCACTTCACGCATTCCGAAGTATCATTTTCTCGGCTTTTCAGAGGTAGCAAAATGTTTTCTGCAACCCCTTTTCATAATAATGGCATCTCAAGGATGGTTCTCTCTTCCCTCAAAACTGTGTGCCATCTTGAATGAAAAGGCATATATGTAGCACCACCTTTATTGAAGAAATTTTCTGACCAAGGCTTCCAAGACCATAATTATGCACAGGCTTATTTTAAAAACAAGTCTTGCTTTATTGCAACACTGGGCTTTTTTTAAAATTCCCAGCCAATAATGAATTTCAAACAGTCCCTCAAGATAAGCACCCACCTTTCTTTCCTGTGAAGTGCTGCCAATAACAGAAGTATCAAATAAACTAGAACAAAAACCAACCGAAGTACAAAGAGCTTCAAGAATGCATCTGAACCAAACAAAAATGACCTTGCTTCCTGCAAAGGTTTTATCATCTTTGCCTGTCCTTTATACCTTATGGGAGGGGCAATAACCTCCCAGCCTTACTCCAGAGTCACCCCTTTTGTTTCAACTGCTCTTGCCTTCTAGCAGCTCTGCACACACGCACACTGAGAACAGGCTCCCCTGGATCCTCTGCCTCGCTGCTGCCAGACTCCAAAGGCTCCAGAGGTAGCACCCCACTCCCAGATGGTCCTGGCCCCATCTCTGCATTAGACGCAGGACCCTCGAGTCCTCTCCAGACTCCCTGACTGGTCCCTGTTCTTCCCCACTGTCCAATTCCACTGCTGTCTGCACAGGCTGCCGGTGAACCACAACAAGAAAAACCATCATACCTTAAAATCCTACTGTAAATCATTTATTTTCTGGCAAGATGGAACACTACCAAGAAGTCAAAAGCTTATTTTCTTAGTTCAGATGAGTGCTCTGCTGCAAAAGAAATAAAATAAAATTTCATATTTTTATTGTCACTCGATAGGGATTCTTTGCTTATTCCAAAGCAGCGAGTTAAATCTGTTCTGGTTTTATGATACTTGCGATTCCAAAATATTATGCATCAGGTTAGCTATATATTACAGGCTGCTTGACAACATTGCTGTCTTTGCAATTCTGGACAGCAGTGAAAAATAGACACTAAATAAAAATCAAATCCTCAGTAAACTACCATAATAGTCAATGCATGATTTGGCTACATCTACAACTACTTAAGAGAGTCCTATTCATTTTTTTTTCAAAATTAGCACATTGGTAGCTCTGAATAATTGCTGATAGCAATAAAGGATCAGAGCAGTGAGATTTCACCAAAGTCTCATTTATAAAGGATAATCTGAGCCAACATTAATCATATGCAGTTTTAAGCATCCAAAACATTTTAAAATTGTCACAAAGAAAAAAAAAGATAAAGCAATGGAGGAACTGTCAACATGGCAGTCAGTAAGCTCCTTTAATGCATGTTAAGCACAGAAATATGTCGTTCCCTCTACTGCCATCATTACTTGAGCTAAAGCTGAGAAACCAGTAAATTTTCCTGATTTTCTTTGCTTTTGTAGAATTATGTTTCTATTCCATTGCAGAGCAGGATTGAGATGGTTAATGGTGTACTGATGATCCACAGTGTTAATCAGTCAGATGCTGGAATGTATCAGTGCGTAGCAGAAAACAAGCATGGAGCCATCTATGCCAGTGCTGAACTGAAGATTTTAGGTCTGTATTCAAGGCTGTTATTCTTTTTTTCCATTCATTTGCTAAGAATACAGTGTGGAACAGAAATAAATATAAATTCAAGGGTTGCTCTGAGTAGAGCAGCCAATAAATTTGATTTAAAGATAAATACATTTTAATGAAATGAAAGTACAAAGTAGCTAGCTGTAATGAAAAAATAAGAGCTATCTTGTTGTCCTTATCTCAACAAATCCAATAAATATTGCAGACTTTCATCAATCAAAACTGTTCAATAGAGCTAAGATTTATAAAGATTGAGATATACAATATATGGAATTAAACAAACCATTCTCACCAATATATAAAAATTATGTATTAAACTGCAAGCGTGTTTAGGTTTTCAGAAGTGTGCAAGCTATAAAATATGTCCATTGGAATAGATGTTATTAGATCCTTTCATCCTGTCATTCTTGACCAATCTTTCATTTCTTTCTTTGTCTCATAAATAATATAGTTATAGTATGAAAGAATATTTAATGGGTAAGATAAGGTTGGTAAGATTAATGGGTCTCACCCCATCCTCATATATTACATACAGTACTTTGTAACAGCTGTATGATTTTACATTATAAAGACATTTCATAAGGGAGAGTCAACCAACCAACCAATAAAGGTGATGTGCCAACTGTGAAAATATTTCTTGATGTAATGGGTTTGGATGGTTCCATTGACATTGATTTCTTTTCTCAATAGCTTCTGCTCCAACTTTTCCCCTGAGTCAACTGAAGAAGACCATTATTATTACCAAAGGCCAAGAAGTCACTGTGGACTGCAAACCACAAGCTTCTCCCAAACCAACCATTGGGTGGAAGAAAGGAGAAAAAAATGTGCGAGAAAATAAAAGGTCAGATGTCCATTCATCCATGTTTACCTTTGACTTCCATCAGTGTTTGCAAAACAAAGATAAAGCACAAGAATATTCAGTCAGCTAGTTTTGGCTATTAGATATTTTAACATTATATATGAAAATGGTCTCATCATTTTGATAATGAAATTTCATCTATATTGTTCATGACTGGCAACATTTTTTATTTAGAAAAAAGGCATGAATTTTCTCAAGGGACCTTCTCAAGGGAAGAAGATTCTTTGGAATTTTTTCAAAATTTCAAATGATCAATTCTAAACAATCAACACTGACATTTAATTCCAGCAAATATTGACAGTAAGGTCCAATTTGGACTGGTCATTGGGACCAGAGGTTTAGTCTTTTAAGTTTTTGGGCTCGTGCAGGAGCCCATTCTCAGGGAACTTTTCTCTACTGGAATGTGTGCTTTTCTACGAGTCATAATTATGTGGTGCCTGGTTGGATGTGGCTTCCTATCGGTTGATTGCTGTGTTAATGGCCAGCTATTGGCTGTTATTTCCTTGTGCTGCCAAGTCCTCGGCTCCTAAGTTCCTGATAATCTAGTGGTAATTCAGCACTCCTACTGACTGACAAGAAGCCTGTTTCCCAGGCTTCAATCATTTCCTGGGCTATCTTTGTACCTGCTTGACCAACAATCTTAGTAGCTGCGAACTTGAAAATATGTCTTTGTTCGTTGCAATATTGACAGCAGTCATTATTTCTGGGCTTGTGCATTAGGTCCTAAGCAGGTTTTGGGATCTATTCATTCACTCCCTTCCCCTTTCTCCTACATTTTTTAATCTTCCCACATCATATTATGTTGCTACTTGTCTCCATAGTTTTTAATCAATCTCTTTTTTTTACCCAGAATAGCTCCCTAGCATTTTCAAATTGTCTGTTAAGATCAAGAAAAAGAAAAGAAAAAAAGAAAAGAAAAAAAATGCAAAAAGTGATACTCATAATTAATTCTTTTTAATCAGCAAATCCATAAATCACTACTTCATTCTTTTCCCATTTTCAGCAAAAAAAATCCATAAAAGGTGTGCAGTCTTTTGTAAAAAAAATACTTGATGTATTATCCTTCATCAAACACACCAATTTTGCCATTTCTGCAAATTCTACTATCTTACTATCTACTCTTCCATTGTGGGTAGTTCAGTATTTTTCTATCTCCGTGCATATGATACTCTCTCTCCTCCTTGTCTAGCTTGTTGATCTACACCTCTTTATCCCTTCTACACTGCCCTTCTGTAATGTATTTCTGGATGACCTTGAGGGATAAGGGGAAAAGATGCTACCTAGGAAACCATCAGACAAGAGAAAGAGGAGCCCCCAGTAGCTTAATGGTCAGAGAAAGAAATTTAGGAAGGACCCACAGTAATGGGTCTAGCGGTTAAAGGTGGTAATAGAGAGTTAGTACTTTTAGACTTGCAAGTTTCCATCACTCTGCTAAACACCTAATTCCCACAGTACTGTCTTATGCCTTAGTATATTGACCCATGTAGTAGTCTTGTTCTCTTCTCTTCTATTACCTCCTGTTGGTATCTTATGATTTATAACTTAGTTGTTTGTATCTTATGATTTTTATGATTGTGTTTTATGCTTTATGACTATATTACTTGATGGTTTGTATATACATTGAGAACTTACGCACCAGGATAAAATGCCTTATGTGTCCAATCACACTTGGCCAATAAGGAATAGTCTATTGTATTCTATATTCTATTTCATTAATATAGCCTTGCAATAAATTAGAATTAGTTCACCTTGTTTCCTGTCCAGTTTACCTATAAGAACTGACACCTTAAATGTATTTATCTATCTATCCATCATCTGTCTGTCTGTCTGCCTGCCTGTCTGTCTGTCTATCTATCTATCTATCTATCTATCTATCTATCTATCTATCTATCTATCTATCTATCTATCTATCATCTGTCTCTCTCTCTCTCTCCCTCTGTCTCTCTCTCTGTGTCTTATTTTTTTTTTTTGTTCCACTCATCTCCCTTATATGGCAATGAGCAATTTACAGATTATGGTATGTTATGGATATATTCCAGATTTCTAGACTTTAACTCTTAATTTGAATAATGTTGGTGCTAGACTGGGAATTCTGAGAGATGAAATCCATACAAGTAGGTAGCGCCCAAATTTAAGAAGGTATGTTAATAAGAAAGTTGAAATTCCCTCTGAATGTTGCTACCAAATTGTGGTGTACTAAAAGGGAACATATTTTAAGATATGCTTGGAGTAATTGTATTGATTTAATGTTAATTACTATTAGAGCTTTAATTTTTGTTCCAAGAAAATGTATTTTTGCTACTGTGGCCCTGTGAATTCCATTTTGCCATGAGAAAGGTTGCTTATTTTTTATACATATAGAAAAGAATTGCAGCATGTGCGTATATAGAAATGGAAAATCATACCTGTACACAAGTCCTATTTCTTTTACGAGCCATTTCAGTTTGAAGTGGTCATATTATCTATGCTACCTACCTTCTGCTGCACCTGAAGCTTAACTACATATGATCTATAAGTGTGTAAATAAAAAAATAAGAGAGAGTTCTAGCTGAAATTAAATAATTTGAAATGAAAAACAGACCAATGTTGATTTTGATATCTTGCTGTGGATTAGCAGAAACTCTACACTAACTTATCTAAACTTGATAGAACTATTTTTTAAAGATCTAGATTTAGGCAATAGGTCTACTTGCTCTGTAAATTGAATATAGAGTTTAAACCAATGAAGAGATTCTTTTCTCTCTCTCTGCTAACCTACAACTTTCATGCATGCCCAAATGTCTTCTCATTACTGAGCTTTCACACCAGCTCATTACTATCATTACATGACCATTAATTATATTTAAAATAAAATGATCCCAAATGAGTTTAGCAAAGGAAAATCTTATTAAGATTCTATTATTACTTACTTTGCTCTGCAGAGGAAGAAAATAAACAGTGGGGTTAATTATCTGCTTTTAGCTAACAAAAACCTAATATTAGAAAGTCAGTGTCTTTTGGAAAAATGTAATGGGTTTGCTTTGGTTTATTAGTCTTTTCTGAAAATAAATGGCAATATCAAACCAAAACTCTTTGCATTTCAGGATGTGTGCTTCAATTTTATGGTGGATGATTACAAGCTGATTGCTAATCCTCAAACATTTAACTAAACTATATCAGCACCCAACAAATTCCCCCTTTTAATGATTTCCAATCCAATAAATTCACAAAAAAATGTTAAAAACTAATCCAAGTAATGCTCTGTAACAAGGATGACCATTGTATTTAAGACTAGAAGTTTGCCGTTTAAAGGGCTATGGGAAATTGGAATGATATGAACATTTTGGTTCCTAGCTCTCTTGTTTTAGAGTAAAGTAGAAAAGCAACACAAATCATATCCCCAATTTTCACACTTTCAGCCTGTTAGGAGCAGGTTTTTAAAAGCAACAGAAGTCCCTCATATCCACTCCCACTCATGATTTTGAAGAAAGGAAAATAACAGAGAAATAACAGAGAAAGAAAGTAGAAACGTGTTCTTCTGGTTTTGTGTCTTTTAATTGCCTCTTTGCCACTCTATTACCCATGACTCAATCTCCATTGAAAAGGGACTGCCTAATTTTTTCTCAGAATTGGTGCGGATAGAAAAATCTTTGCGCAATAGTTTTGTTTTAGTTTAGGTCCCCTGGACAATCACTATTGGCTTTATTTCTCCACAGTAGAAGCTACTAACTATCTGAAATATGTTACTTAAACTTCTGGGAACACATGACCATCTGAGTCTGCTGATGCCCAAGAGATGGTTTACAGATTCTAATGTAAGAGAGAAGGCAATTTGAGGAGGACATTTGATGGAAAATAAAGAAGAGAGTACTCAATAATAAGATGTATTGAGAATTGTGCAGTTGCTACCGTTTAATTTTTTTTCCTTCTCACATCAATCACAGTTTAATTGAGCTCTTTTAGTTTATAATGGAAATTAGAGATCTGGGTATCAATGAGAGACAGGAAACCGTGGCAACTTTGACATTGCCATAAAAATAAATTCCACAATAATTTATTTCTTTCGGTTAGATGCGAGTTATTAATTAGCCCTAATACTCTGGCTGCAGCATTGATTCTGAATCAGCTTGGGGAGCTGAAAACTATTTTAATCAAAATGTTACAGCTTTAATTTGAGCATCCCTTCTTGTGTTTTAGATCTTCATGCTAACGTAAGAAGCGTGTGTGCGCAATACTAATGAACAAGCATAGTCGGTTATGAGAAAGAGACATGAGGCCAAAAGTTGGAAGTTTCTGGAGAACAGTGGTGGGATTCAAAAAAATTTACTACCGGTTCTATGGGCGTAGCTTGGTGGGCATGGTGTGGCTTAGTGGGCATGGCTTGGTGGGCATAGCAGGGAAAGGATATTGCAAAATCCCATTCCCTCCCCACCCTACTAACCTGCTTTCCAGCTCCATTCTCCTGTGCAGGTCAACAAAAGAAGAGCCAGCCAATCAGCTGGGACTCAGGAGGCAGAGAATAGATGGGGGCAGGGCCAGTCAGAGGTGGTATTTGCCGGTTTTCAGAACTACTCAAAATTTCCGCTACTGGTTCTCCAAACTACTCAAAATTTCCGCTAGCAGGTCTTCAGAACTGGTCAGAACCTGCTGAATACCACCTCAGCTGGAGAGGTGTGGCGGTTGCCATAAAAGCAAACTAATATCAGTTGAGGGTGAAAGCAGCAGTCTGCATATTATGATAGCTTTTTAATACCCATAAAAAAATGATCTCCTTTTGATTTTTGTATGAAGATTTCCTGAGTGACAAGGATGAATTAAAAGCTGTTCTTTCAGTGTTACCGTAACACCCTAAAAAGACTTCAAGCCATACAGTTTCATGATTCTATTAATACTTTGCTGCCTCCAGTTCTGATAATTTGCTGCAATTCAGATCAGCATCGGTTTTGGTGGGGTGGTACAGACAACAGAGAAAAAATTGACAGTGATGATTAATTGATTGATTG